CTGAACTCGTGCATAAGCATGCATTTAAAAATCCCACTAACAAGCCAATTTACTTGAAACTGACTAAAATCACAAACGTTTGGATTATTTATGTTGAAGTCAGCTAGAAGAGCTGAAATGGTTGCGAAACATGCTGCTTTTGCGGTCCCGCTATGCATCAGCTCTGAGTTCGGAAAAATCGTAACAAGTTGCACCGAACAGATCATTCTCATAGTTCATGCTTTGAATATCCTTTATTCAATTGTCCAATACTAAAAGAAGGCGAATGCTCCGAGGTGTATGCATTTTGCATACTCCTCTCAAGTGACATTAGTATAGAACAAAATGGAGTCGGTAAGTTCAATGAATGGACATGAAGTACTGACCACCGTATTTTTTGAAAAATGAGAACCAGTCTTATGCTAATTTTTGTTTCCCTAGAAACACACTAGGGGTTATTTTCGAAGTTGTCTTTTATTTTAGGGAGGAAAACACAAAGAGGTGAACAAAGATCTATGTCCTCGCGTAAGAGAACAATATTTCGTCAAGCTTTAACTAACCTTAAAGGTACATCCAAGGGTTTCAGTGATAAGTGTAGCTTCGTTATTCTATGAAAGATTGCTCGGTAATCCTTGACTGGTTTGAATGTGGATGTATCGCTCCTTTTTCGGTGACTGTGCCAAACTGACTTATCATTAATGTACGGTCTGGAGAAATGAGTCATAATGGGATGTGAGGTCTCTTCGTTGAACACCTTCTGCAAATGCATCTTTGACTAGGTCTGCGATCAGACAGATAGAAATGGGAGCCGTTTCACTGCTTCTCATGAGTTAAAAATTTTCTTATAATCCGTGATATGTCTATTACAAGCCACCTAATATGTTGTTTTACATTAGTTAAAATAAATAATAATTCGTTATTGATTTCAGGCATTCATTCGGGATGGAAACCTAATTCCGGTTGACTTGCGTATCAGGACCCTACTGTGCAGCATAAAGCAGTACCATGATTACATATTGTGGCACAAATGCAAGATCCGATTCATCGCCTTACTTGTTAACGCAAGAGGAACTGGTTGGGTCTCAAATTATGCAAAAGAACCTTGAATCACAATATTCTATCTTGTGTGGGTACCCAGGGAAAAACAAGATTATTTTGACTGCCGAATAATCAGCATATAACAGTCCTACAGAACATTTATCTCACTAACTTAGTGAAATACTGCCCTAAGTTATTCGCACATGTGGGCAGCACAAGGACCGAGCCTTCCGAAGATGATCAACTGCAGTTTGGTATATTCCTGTAAAACTGGTGGCGCGTTTGTTGTAGGATTTTGTTCCACGTGATCCGTTTAGTTCGGTAGGAGTCTGGAACAATGAAGGAAAAAGCCAGAAATTCTTAGTCGGACTGAAATAACAGCTTCCGGATGAATATTTAGAAGTGAGGATTCACAAAACGTTCACTTGCTGGTTTGGTTATAGCTTCGTTCCATTCGACTGTTGTTCGGTAGTTTCTAGAAATCTCTTCAGCAATACTGCTTCGAATCAAGTAGGAAAGACCAGCGCACACACATTTACCACACTTGGTCCCATTGAGTCAGCAATTGTACATTCGGCTATTCTGATCAACGTACACGCGCCATTCGCATGAAAACTGTCCTTCCCGACAATCGACCTCCCATAATTTGTTGAACAAGACAAAATAAAATTCTCAAAGCTTTGCAACATCGCAGATACAGATTTTGGTTCAGTCTATCACGGGATTTGGTTGTTATCCTTGACTGATTTCAAACAAACCTATGAGGAACTCACTGCTTATTACTGGTTTTGAACCAAGTTCGTAACACCACATCTAAAAGAGGAAATACTACCGACCATCTGGGAGGCTGGTGTGTCTCAACTGAAAAGAAACGAGCAAGATGTCCAATGTGATGTCTAATTTGGATTCTTTCAGTATTGAGGTAAACGGAGTTTTCGCACAGCTGAATCAGACAATGAAATTGATTTTCCTAATGAACAGTCTAAAATCTAAATTAAGGTACACAAAGCTGCCGAATGGATTTTCCTGTCATTTTTATTACTTTGAAAATTTCATTAATTTTTTGGGCAACGTTGAAGAAGTTATTTACGATATTTGTGCATGACAGATGCAACCGGGTAAAATGTTCCGATAGAAGTCATCTCATCTGTCCGAATTTTCCTGGTATCTGATCTGTTTGACCACATTTCCAGTGAGAGAAACTAGACGGAAAATGCGGTAGCATACAGCAAGCTTATTGGGATTGATGATAATTTACGAGGCTGATTCTCCACTGGACTCCAGCTTGCACGCATATACCTCAGATCATCCGATCAACCTTGTACTTGAAAGCACCGAGCTCGAGTTTTACTCGTGTTTCATTTCATTAGTGTTTCATCGATGGTGACCCTCCAGGTGAGAATTCCCGATTTCATACATTGGGCGTGGCGGTGGATATACACCAGTCGGGGTCTTTAACAAGAACGAAATTCGAGTTCAGCCCATCCATGTCCAAAGTTGATCGAATGATCTCAGGTTTATGCGTGAAAGGTGGAGTCAAAAGGACAATCTGCCAAGTCAAACAAATTACTCCCTTTCTTTCTTCGTACGAGTCTCTATTATGGTAATGTTGCAAATGTGACCGAACGGTCATATGTTCTGTGCTTATCAGGTCTCTCATCAGACACCATATAAATTTTCCTCATTCTGCCGCGTTGCACTTGCACTTGACTAACAATCCCAATAAACTCCATACAATATTACTTCAGCTTATTTTTACTCACATCTCGTTTTTTCTATTCTCTCAAGTGTCAAATATTTCCTTCCAAGTTTTAATACGGATTTTGTCTTCAACAATGTACTTCAGATTCATCAACAATGATATCGTATTACCAATTACGTCTTCTTCCATACTAAATCATCTACACAAATTGCAACATCTTGCACTGAAACTATACTGACTAGGATACCTCCATATCCAATCCCATCATCGTCACCGTCATTCGTTCTTTGCATTCCACACGGACTTCAGCAATACATCTTGCAAACCACAAACTATTTCAGCTTTGTCTGCTTTCATTAGTTCAGACCTGGATTTATTTTCATTGCACATTGATTTCCATAATGAAACAACCGCGACTGATGACCCGATACTTCATACGAAATAGCCGAAGACGAAATGCCCGCAATGAAATTGAGAAGGTGGTTTTCAGATGTCCACTTAAACCTATTCTGGCTAATTATTTTGTGGATAATTTGGAACGTAAATTACAACGGAATATTTCAAGACTTGATCTCTCCTTCTGCTACGTTCATGATATATTCATCATTAGTGACAACAACAGCCACGTGGATAGATTATTCGATCACTCAACTAGCGTCCGCACATACATCAGACAGACTCTGTTTGGAGTAGATAACAATCACAAATCCTCCCTGGACATGGATATTTCTTACCAACCAGACGGATTGATCAGGATATTTATCTACTGGAAACAAACAGGGTCTAGGCCACAATTGCATTTCACGAGCTCTGCATCTACGTAATACAAGATCGGTCTCACTCGAACATTGTTTTCACAAGACACGTGAAGTATGCCAGAAGACAAATTAATTGATCAATATGAGATATCATCTTCAACGCTACACACCACTGAGTATCCAATGTAGTGTATTCTGAAGCACCCTCCAGGAACATCTGCGATTACAAGGCCGAAAAGTGTTCAGATGTTGGAAGCGCGCTTACGACTACAATTCGAAGGCGACGAAGTCAGCTGAATACCTAATAACCCTATGATTTCAGTCAACAGACTCACTAGAACGAGACCGATCCACTCATCATCTTCACAATCACGAGAATACCAAAAACATCTTTGAAATAATCGCTAGGTCTACGTACCGAACCAAACTGTATATCGATTCACTTAAGGATACTCAGCTGTTTACGTATGTACAAATGAAGTACAGTTGCGTCATCGAATCAATAAACGTATTCCGATGTAACTTCAAAGGCAGTTGGTAGTCAGTTTCCAGTGATGAGCCCATTAATAAAACCAAATCAAAATCATCAAATCAGTAAATACGCAACATCTTCTGAGTGAGAACATTGTTTTAACTCTGGCTACCTCATTCAAGGTAATATGAGACATTTTATGCACGAGGCTCTAATCATTCTCAATTGTAAACTCGAATTGTACAAACCGCGTGAATGACTAATCTATCTGGATTTATTCTGATGAGTGTACATTTATTATACCCATAACGGAGCCGCTTTGAGATTATGAACAAGACTCATTGGCGAAAACTCATATCCGTTCGTGTTCCAATTATTCATTCACCACTCCATCTGTACACGAATAAATGCAATCAGATAGAAGAAACAAGTATTTCGCATATGAATTGCATCAGTATCAGAGAAACAACTGGTACAGACGAGTTTGTAAATACAATCAAGATAAAAAGTGGTAGAGTGCAATGTATTATAGGAGAATAGAACAGAACAGAACAGAACAGAGCGGAACAGAACAGAGCAAAACAGCAGAGGTCAGTTCAGGTCAGAAATCAGATGGATGAATTAAACTGGATTGGGAATTCAAACTGTTCTTTGACTTCTACATAAAGGATACTATGGGACTATCAAGAAAATTTCGCACGAATTAAGCAACACCTTTTGATCACTCACAATGCAACTGTCCACGATATTTCATCTGTAGTCTAGCGTGCTGACTCGATATAAAATCATTTATTGTTCGTTATTATTCATATTCAAGTTGCACAAATGACGGAGGTTATTGACATTTATTCAAAAACTGTGCATGTTTGAGCAGAACAACGAATGATGGCTTTCGATCTCCACGGAGTAATGCTATCGTCAAACCAATACGACAGATTAGTATCGCAAGCATTGAGAATAAGACACAAATACACATCTTCGAACATCGATGACAACATCATACACAGTAGGAACGGTGAGGAATAATGAACGAATAGAATACTATCCGGTTTCACAACGATAATATAGGAAAAAACTCACTACAACATCCATACACCACGGTCAAACCAGTATTTGTCCAGTTCCCACTATAATTGAGAATTTTAGGCGTCAGCGGCAGACAGGTATAATTCTGATGTAGTAGATGCAACGCGTTGTTTCATTAGTTGGATATGAGGGAGAGATATATTGAGGATATGGTGGAGAGGGAGAGAGAGGGTGAGAGGTGAGTTGGGGTGAGAGTGAATGATTATGTCAAACAATCGTGCGAGCTGAACAAACATGTTCGCATTTCATCAGTCCGGCAACATTTCACCTTTTAGTGACTACGATACGAAAACGGAACTCTTCAGCTTTTCCGTGAGCAAACTACAAGACGTGAGAAAATTTGCAATAAATGAGAAAACCAATTGTTTGGAATAAAACATGCATCACATGAATGATGCTGATCTGTGATGGAATGATCACCTCGACGAATGAGACTTTAGATAATGAAAATCTCAGTTGCATTTTTTGATAGCTTCACCGATAGAGTTTCTATACGATGGGCGGACGGTCACTGATTCGATTCTGGTTAGCAGCGTTTCACTTTCGGATAGGAAAAATGCACGTGAATTTTCTATTGTCTGAGATCCGGGTTTCTCGCACCAGGTATACATTCAGTGAGTGAGGTTCCATTGTAGTGTATTGAGGACCTCAGTATGTTAATGTAGAATCCAGCCAAAAATGATCAAATCTGATTATCACCAATTAGAAATAAGAAACAATAAATGCTGATTGCTGCTGGACACAGAGTGAATGGCAATATCTTTAGCCATCATGATACACAGGATTTGCATTCAGTGAGAAATGCACAAAACTCTGGTGTCTGAAAGTGTTTTCACTTGCTAGATAATGAATAGGTGGAAAGCACTATCAAAATGTGAGATAAACTTACAGATAAACAGGTGAATCCTGGTGAATCTCTAGTGTACAACTTCACGACGGTGAGTGCTGCATCGTACGATAGGATCAGAAAACAACGCGGTTCTGCATATACCGGCTGACCAGAAATGTTCATTAGTTGCATTTGGGCACATCCCGTGATTTTCCACGGTGGTCCACAAGCGCCAATCACGCAGCACAATAGACTCACTAGAATCAGTCGAGAAATATCAAGTCGACAAGTGAGATTAGCACAGCTCATCGATTTGCACACATTTTCTAACTTTGATGAATACGACCGAACTACCGGATGGCGATGCGTGGTATTCAAGTCTTATTTTATTCTTTTCTCACAGTCATTTGAACCAATCATGACTCGAGAACATTCAGTGTTTTACACATTGTGTAGGTAGCCGTCTACGTATCTGTGGGTGGGTGTGAGGACCTGGTCTGTACTCGACCGTTTTGTGATAAAACAATTGGTTAGAACATTTACTAGTTAGTCCTCAGAACTCATTCCACTGAATGTATGATGTAGATTGGCCACAATTTACCATGATGCGGGATGTTTTGCTTCAGGATACGCTTGAGAAAAGAAGAATAATGGGATCATTTGATCAGTCGTTTTGATGTTCACAATGTTGGAGAAGGCGGTAAATGTTCCGTTGTGAGAACTGACTGTAGTTGATTCCCGTTTCAATTGTTGATTTACAACTGACTGTAAACGGTTACTCCTGACAGTACAAGGTGCATCGTTTCTCCCATTTACAAATAATGACTCCGATAAATTCTATGAGGTATTCGGAGTGTTTAGAACAGAACAATCTTGTCCTTCATAGTGAACAGTATTCTCATTGATTTGTGTTTCTAACAGTCAATCTGGTTGTTTACGTGCGTGGCATGCTCACTGGTGCGCCCTCTGGTGTCTAATAGGTGGTGTTGTCTTTGTTGCTGTCGTAGTTACTGGTGCTGTTGTTTTTATTGATTTTGTTATAACTGTTGTAAGGAGAATTGTGTCGAAACAAATATTTTCCCTAAGGAAAGCTTTCCACAAAGAACGAGATTGCAGCACTCATAACACCTGACGATTTGGGTTGTAATAAATCATGACCACTCATATATTTACGGTGTTATCAAAGACACATGAAGCAGTAAGTAATTGACCGCGCGCATGAGTGAGATTTTTCGAGAGTCCCACACGAAAGGCTTATCTGGTTAGGTTATAGTTTAACGGGAAAATGCTCCGTGTCATGTCTCACAACAGGTTTGTTACACTTCTTGTGTGAGTAAAACTGTTTTCTTGTTATTCCCTTAGGATATATGAAGCCATGGGTTCTTCCAAGTTACAAATCTTACATTTACCTCCAAACGGCATCAATCTTAAACTGATCGAGAATTTATTTATTTTCAGTCTGAAGGAAGAGAAAGGTTAGTAAAATTACTTCACAATGGACTTTGGAGAAATTGAGACACGTATGAGAGACCGAAAACACGAGTGATTTCATCACCAGATTGGTTCACTCGATACCCCCCAAAAGACTGGACTATATAATCAAGATAAAACGAAAAGCCACCCGAATATTATTCAAAAGATGAAATGCACTTCCAGAATAATGGTTTTAATTTTCATGTGCATAGGCACTTTTTATTTTCTTGTGCTTCGTAATATCTTATGGTATTGGGTGAATGGTGTGTGGAAACTGGAAGATCTATCGAGTTTATTGTCTTACAAGATGTAGTACTTAAGCACATATTGATGACTGAGTGGTAAGTTCAGGTAGCACATAAATTTCAAACTGGGAGGTGCAACCCTGTATAAGTATAAAAGACTTTCCAGAAAAACCACGAGGTCTAGGAAATGTAAACAAAATTTGATGCATCGGTATTGTGGTCATTATGTGCCCTACTCACAAGCAATACGAGAAATATAATTTTAAAGCAAACACTGTTCCTTTGTTCAGTTGCACACTCCAATCAACATGCATCTATTTTTATACACCACCAAATTTATTGTGCACATATGACTCATCCTATTGTAGACCTGGATATTGACTACTGCGGTTTACATGTCTCGCTCACATCACGTGCCTGCACTTGGAAAATTTGTGACCACCAATAACATTGTTCATGAATCAGTTACTGCGTGATAATGTTTTCCTTGTGAATATTTCATACTTTTAAACTGGAGCATTCTGCATTTTGTAAGAACCACTGCATTCTGGCGTTAGTTTGTGTCCTCTGATTTCCTTTTGAGCAGTCCATCTAATTCAGATATCTTATCCAAGACCTCGTGCAAAATCTACCACAAAAATAACGATCTATACAGGTTTCAGTGAGAGCCACTGTAGATCTTATGAGAAGGTGGTCTGAAAATCCCATTTACGATACAGGGTATTTGTCAAAGCACTATCTGTTAGGGAAACGTAGTAATGCTGCCTGTTCCTATAGAAGAGGGTTGAACACCGGGAGGTTCTGTTGAGCTCAAATTCGTTGGTCGTCAAGTGACCAGTATATCAATTGTCCAAAATTAGGATGCAAGTTGGTATCTAATCGGAAAGTGTTCCCAAATTAGGAGATGATAGACTTAGACAACGTTTCAAGAAATATGCAGAGCATCTCATTTCACGCCAGCTCCCTACCAACCAGGTCTAAATTGTTCGGACATGAGACTGCGCAGAACGACCAAGTGCAGACAGTGTCGTTTGTGTGTCTGAGTGATGGAGAGATGGATTTCGGAAAGGGACGTGTGTTTGCTAATTGAGGAAAATGGGAAGCTAAGCATCGTCGACTGATCGAGATAATGTAAATGGAAAGTCTCTTTCGTGCTCTCACGTATTTCATCACTCCCAAACCATCTATTTTAGAGAAATTTAGATTCTGAAACGCACCGGTTTCAAGGTGGCTCGCAGGTGATCACTTTTTTCTTCTAAAAATAAAGCCAAAATGCTAATTGCAAACCCATCGAGATACTTCGTATGTTACAGCGTTCGGACAGAATGTACCAGTCTGACCTGATCGGAGGTGTAAGCAGGGCTAGGATGAGCATGTTCCGGGTAAAGTATATCGTGATCGCCTGGAGTTGTAGCACTATCGGGTTTGCCAAAATGCGCAGTTCATCCAAGAGTACGAAGGAGATTTACATGAATTCAAATCAAGCATGTAACAGTTAGTCTATCCTTTCTTCCTGCCATGTCATTGAACCAACTGATGAGTTTCTAGTTACCACCTTCAGCTCGCAATTCATTCCCGCCTGTCTGCGCATAATTTACCAACCTGAGGCAGTGCGCATTGAATTCCCACTTCAAAGTCAAATGTGCTTTAAAAGGAATTCTGAAGAGTGTATAAACTAATTATTGCCCAATGTTGGAAACTTCTGGGTAAAATTCATGTATATTTCTGGTGAAGCCACGAGTCAATTTGACCTGATCGGGTCATATGAGCCTCCGAGTGAGCTGCCTATTGAAATATTAGAACTCATGCAGCTGAACGAGGTTTCACCTTCCACAAATTTTCCGTCAATCAAACGGACTCATTTGGTCAATCAAGTTTACACCAATGACACCCCAATTCATTGTAGTGTTCATCGTTGCTATGCACTCCGAACTACTGTCTTGACGATGAACTATACTGCAATTGATGCAAACGTGGGGATCAAAACGTGTGGTCATGATGATGTGACGAACAATGGATTCTGGTCTTCTTGATATTGCATTGCTTCGATAAGCTTCACAATAGACCATCTAAATTGGAATGGTATTTCGCGAAATAACACCTGTTCCTGAGTGCTATTCCTTTTTGAACACGGAATTCTGCTCCCGCAATTCTCGAATGTAGCCGTGACCGTATGATAAAATGTTAAGAACCTTACGTGGTGCTTGCTCTCTACAGTGGCAGAGGCTGCCAACCCTGACATCACACTGACGACCGTTGACTTTTCACGAAAACATCTGTGTTGTATTCAAGTGCATCTTCAGGTGCATTATCAGCTGATTAATATTGTGTACTTCCTTTATTGAATGGTAATATTTGAAGCGATATTCGGAGGAATTATCCCGTCACATTCAAGGACTACCGCGGTTGTGAAATCAGTAATGTTCTCTTCAAAGTCTGCAGGACTGGAAGAGTATGACAGCCTTAGTTTTGTTCGAAAGAAGTTTAGGATGGTTTCGAATAAAATCACTCTCATCATACCCGTTATTATGGCACCATTATTATTTCTACCTACTTCGTTATCTTTATGAAAATGATTCTCAACGGATATGGTAGATTTCCACGTAAATAACATTGCGTGAGTTTTCGGTGGTCCGTGGCTTCCGTGCCATTAAGCAGATTGAGACTTAGGCCTAAAACACCCTCAAGGTCCCTGTGTAGTGATGTGCAATCATAATGATCTCATTATTCCGTCGGATGGACAGAGAATCCACTCACAAACAAATTCTGAACTTGAATCATAGCTATTCTGCTTTTTGGGTAGCCCAGCTACTGTCCACCGTTTTTCTTGAAACGTGCACATTCGTATTCAGAAATATTCGCTATGAGGTTGGAAATAAAATGTGATTGTTGTGTTCCTAAATGGACTTAGGTAAATATCAATGCATCATCAGTTTTGTATAAATACTTCGTGAGTTGCATGGTGAAGAGCAAATTTGTACCCGCCTCATCATGTCAAAGATAGGTACTGCAATGATTAGAAATTTAAATCAATGGAACCCTAGGGCAACACCTTTGGTGAATCTTTGTCCAGGAGTAAAAAGTACGTACGTGCATCCACAACACAGGCCATGAGGCCACCTTGTAAGCGGAGTGAGGAAATTGAGACCACTTGAAGTAAGCAGTATCCATGAACTGCGGAATTTACCGTGCAGATATTTAAATTTACGAGTGTTTATCAACAAGCAGTGTTGGGGCTCTGGAAGAAATAATTGTTATGGTTTGCTTTTATCTAGCTGATCAAAGTTTTTGAAAAGAGCTGGGTAACTACCACCTTTTCAGATGCCCCATTTGTTGAATTCATGGGGAAGTTTTGATGAAATCAATCACGAGTTTTTGCTAACCGCAGCGATTTTGATTGAGATCCAGTATTAACGACATCATTATTTCGTTCCCACCCAAATGAATAATAATGGTGTGGTTGATACGCTGGAACTCGGCGGGGTACGCATTTTGACAAACTGTCTTCCCGTGAATAGACTTCCTTGGGCCTTTTCAACCCAGTACACATGGAGCACCTGTTACCAGAATGAGAAGTCCAAAACGAAAAGCATCGGCGTATGAATTCACGGGCGAAATTAGGGTGTGTAACCTCCTTTGTAGGGCGTCAATGCCGGAGTCACATAAACTGATACTTATTGCATTTCAGTTTACATCATCCATCCATTATATTGGGGCAAGAATGATAGGGATGATCCTCCAACTGAACTGGGAAGAGGGATTTTCAGAACTGTTTTGTAAATGGAATGTGTATAAAATGGCCTTCCGTTTGCTTCTTGAAAAGTTTATTTGTTTTTCCAAGGTAATCACATAGATATTTCTTTCGAACTGCTCAGCAAATTTTGCTCTCATTGACGTCCTAACACTGAAGAAAGACTGAGGTGGGAAAGTGAAGTTTTAACGAACTTGAAATCCGACTTCTGTCTTCTCAACTGAGGTGTTGAGGAAATTTATTTTTATCTGTCCCATGCTTCATTCTAACGAAGTCAATTTGATCAATTAACAAGGCACACATAATGGACCTCTCAGGAAGACCGAATTCTCTCTGCTTCGTTAAGTTAGTTATTCAATTATATAGCATCGTACGGTATATTACAGTAGGCTGCGGTATAGCATGACATTGTATAATATGTATGGCAACTGTTTCATGAAATCTTCCAAGTACAGAATGGATTTTTGTCTTCCTCACAGCAGTACAATTATACTAATTATACTGGTTGAGAATGTGTTCTATTAGACCTTCTAATTGGAAAGTTCTATTTGAAATTCATGATAGTTCACACGGTTTTCCTCATAATAAACATTACATTTCCATACCTTGATGAACCATAAATTGCAGAACCAAAGTGATTTTAACTTCAAATCAAGGTCACTCTTTCAACTAATAATATTGCATTATGGGATGAGCTTATATGTGAGCATCTATGAACAAATCTATGCCGGTCCCTGAAGTCATGATGTAATTTAAATAAATCAGGAAGTTCAAGTTTTATACTGAGTAAATTTCCGAATATTTCACAAGCAATCTCCAATGGATTTTCATAGTGAAACACCGTAGTTCAATGTACCTTGCATCATAGTTTATTGGCCAAGCACCTGAGTTCATTGAAACTTGTGTCTTGTCTAATCAACACAGCATCCCATAATTCGGTCCACAAATCTAAGACATGATTTGAATTGGGACGTTATTTCCAGTGAATGGTATAATCAAACCTTTCGGGGCAATTTCAACACACAACAAAAGCCATATTCGTATTACACAGTTGGTATAATTTTGCTTTCACGCAACCATCATTTGTACGTTTGTGTCAATTTCTCAGAAGAACGGTTGTCATATCTTAAGCAGATGGTCAACGCCAATCGACTTTGAGAAAAACAGTGGAACAGCAGCCAGCTCCTTCATATTCGTAAGTTTAGGCTTCAAGCATTGGGCACTCAAAATCAGTCAATAAACTAGAATCTAGAAATTATCAGGCTAAGGTATCTGGAAAATATAAAAGTCCAATTCGGCGAAACAATCGTTTTTTAGTAATTCATTCTCAAGCCATTTACAGATTGCATAATAGAAATCAGACGAAAGGTCATGAGCATGGACATGGAATAAACACCAATCATGAGCAAGGGTTTGCCAGTCAAATTATCGTTGTCATGTGATTGGTTTATCTAGCTGACACGCTCTAGGTAACTGGACAATAAATTCATACCGCGTTGATCAACCTTGAGCCATGGGATTTGGAGTGCTTGGATCTGCAGGTACCTGTATATTTCCGACTTTTTCCATGATTTTCAACGTCCTTTGGTGCAATACTCCTTTGTTGTACCGACGTTTTAATGTAAAACACAAACTTTTTGGTCGTCAGCACCGCGTAATACAAAAAGGCTGTAAATAAATCTTCCATTCTGGCACGGTCTCATCTTCTGATTTGGAGTGTTTTGGAATTTTATCGGTCGGAACTAACTGTGAGAAACAAAACATTTTAGAAGCTTCCACGGCGTCTCTTGACACTTCGCTCAATACCATCCTGTTCTGTTCAACGGATGGGTGTCAGACCGAACTGAACCGAAGACATTGGCGGATATTGGCTCTTCGGCGCTCATTTCCTGATCACAAGAACAGCAAACAACTGTGAGTTTGAGTCACACCTTTTGTTTCATTTTAATTCCTAATGTACATACCCTTTTGGCCTTTTTATCACAGCACGCTCCTCCGCCTATCTTAGTTTGCTAGTGCCGTCTTAGATATTGTTGACAATAATTTGGTGTACCATATATACAGAGTAGTACGCTACAAAATTGGTAAGCCCAAGTTGTTCTCCCATCCTTTGACACTAGCTTCATTCTTTTGGTCCAAGTTCCACACGATTCACCATGTCTGACACCAAATCTATTGACATCCACGCGGTTGCTCTCAAACTGCCCGTTATTGCCCCGACCAGCCCTCGAATGTGGTTTCGACAAGTAGAAGCCGTATTTACCACTCGACGCATAACCAGCGAGCGCGTGAAATACTCTCACATTGTCCAGGCGCTTTCCTTTGACATCGCCGTTGACGTGGCAGATCTCCTCGATCCCATTCCACCAGAAGCTCCTTACACGAAGCTTCAGGAAGCAGTCATTCAACGTACCGGAAAATCAGCCAGAAAAATTCTCCGTGAGCTTTTCACGTCGGTGGAGCTCGGCGACCAAACTGCGTCCCAGCTTATGCGCCACATGCAGTCGCTACTGGCTGGACGTCAAATGGACGACGCCGTTTTCAGGGAGATATGGGTTGATAAACTACCTCTCCCGATGCAGCAGGTCCTGTCAGTGCTGGAGCCCACTACTCCTCTTGACAAATTTGCGCAACACGCCGATAGAATAATGGAATGCTACCCGGCTGGTAGACCCTGTGTTCACATGATATCACCCGCCGAAAACCACTCCGACACACGAATCCCCTATGGCATTACCAGCACCTGCCCCAGATCGCCGTGGCGATGGTTCCCGCAGTCCTGCTTCCCCATCTCATCACTCTCATACCGATAAGGACATTACGGACCTAAAAGAAACCGTTCGCATGTTGTGCAATCAGGTCAGTGCAATGTGCAACGCATTTACTACTCATCGATCTGTGTCCGCCGAAGTACCTCGTCGACCTAGATCACGGTCCAGAAACCGCCGGTTACAAACCTAGTGTTGGTACCACCGCATATTCGGCTCCCAGGCACGCCGCTGTGATCCTCCATGTTCGTTCCGCACTTCCACCTCACAGTCAAACGACCAAGCCAGCCAGTAACGGCGACGACTACGGCTGGCTCTCCACATGAAAGTCGCCTACTTTATTTCGTTGACCGATCCAGTGGCCTTCGATTCCTCATTGATACCGGCGCCGAGATCAGTGTAATCCCCCCACCCAGACATCATAGCCTCAAACCATCCCACTTCACACTGCAAGCAGCAAACACAACAACTATTGCGACATTCGGCCAATGGTCCATCACTCTTGATTTAGGCC